TTCCTACAGGCAGTGATTCAGAGGGCGCACAAAAACTTCCCGCCACCACTCCAACACGCTGCATGAGACAGGGTTTTATTTTATTAACATGGTTTATACAACATTCAGAGCTGTCCCGTCGCCAGAAGATTACCATTAATCATTAGTTATTCATTAAAAACAATAACATCTCCCTGAAGCAAGAAGGCTGTAAAAACTGTGAGACGTTGCCTTCTTTTAAATGCTGAGTATTAATTATTATTATGAATCACCACCAAGTTTTAATAACGCTTCAACTTCTCTCCGTCTCGGTTGTAAAACCAGCTGTAGCCCATTTAACAGCTGTTTTTTTTTTTACTTTTTGTGCTGTGTGAACATGTTTTGAGTGCTCGACTGATTGGTTATAGGACTGTAAGATTAATTTATTTAGAAATATGCAATAGATTGACTTTTGTCAGCCCTAATATGACAAAATGGAAATAGCATAGTGGCGTTTTCATGCTGGAGATGCAGAGAAGCATCTGTACGAGCAGATAAATATACACAAACCATCGTGGATTATTACTGTTTTTAATGTAGATCTCCTGTACAATGTGCTTACTGTGAATTAACAGGGCTTTTTAATGTGAATATTGTTGGAAACTTGATCGATACTGTCGAACTCAGTCAGTGAATCATGTGCGTGCTGCTCGCAATAACATAAGGGACAAAACAAACAAAGGAAACTGCTCCAAAAAACAAAAAAATAACCCAAAGTTACCATCAGTAACAGAAGGAGGACACCTTTAATAGTTCCCTTACTTCCTGTCAGGTATACGTCCAGTCTTTAGCTTTGACATCATGTCCAGTTTTATTCGTTTTCTACATTACAACATTAATAAAAAGTATTTTATTTTGTTGCATATTTAATCTTTGACAGGCAGAAGAAACATTACATTCATGAACTACAACCAAAAGCTTAATGTGTTTATCAGTTTGGTCCAAAATGACGCATTAATCCAACGTTTTTCTCTGTCTCATTACGTTCTTATGGTTGGTTTGAGAACGTTGTATGATTCATTCAAGTAAAACACATCACCATCTGTGTGTGTGTGCGTGTGTGTGTAGTATAAGTGAGTGTGTTTTCAAGGTCAGTGAGAAACCATAGTAGATGTTCTACGTTTAATGTTTCTGTTGGAGCTCCGAGTGTTTTCACTGCTTTTCTGTGTTTTAAAGAGAAAGCGTTTGTGTGTGTGTGTGTGTGTGTGTGTGTGTGTGTTTTCTGTCTGAGTGAGTATGATGATTAGTGGAAGCAAAGGATTAGTGGAGGTGGAGCCTGGCCCCTTAGTGTTCTGTGTCAACATGTGCCAATAATTACCCACAGAGAGAGAGAGATAGAGAGAGAGCAGACAGCGAGCAGGGAGAGAGGAGAGAGAGAGAGAGAAAGAGAGAAGGAGAGTTCGATCCCCTGAAAACGAGAGTGAGTGTAGATCAAGGTAAAAGAGTAGACTAACAACTTCTGTCTGGCAGAGACGCCTTTCCCTTCTCTCTCACACACACACACACACACACACACACACACACGCACCACACACAACAGACACACACACACGGATACACTTTTCTCTCTGAATTTATTCCTCTGCAGTTTTGATGTGGGGGGGGGGGGGGGTTGGATGGGTTACCAGGCAACCATCCTTGTAGCCATTTGTTTTGGGCCTCCATGAAATACAACCTTGTCGTGTGTGTGTGTGTGTGGTTTATGTCTTTGTCTCTCGCGCCTGCTCTAACTTGCTTGTAGTCTTTCTTCTTCTATTGCGTCGTAACTGAGTCGAGACACACTTTGGTGAGCTTGTTAAGTCTCACAGTTTTCCCTTGGCGGCGGGGGGGCGCTGTCTGGGAATATGAGCAAATGTACAGGATGAATAGGAATGTGAAAAGCTCTCTCTCTTACACATACACATTGGGAATTAGCAGACATAGTTCAGCTAAAAGAGGGGAAATAGTAGTAAGGAAATCGGAGTAAAACTGGAGAGGAAGAGATAAAAGAGGATTAAATGAGTTAGAGAAGGAGCAAAGAGAAGAAGGAGGAAGCAGAGAGATAAGGAATAAGGAGGGAATCAGAGGGAGGATGGGAAGATCAAAGGAGGAGAGTGACAACTGCACAACAGACTGTAGTGGAGTCTGCAGCTTCCAGTCGAGTTACTGATAATAAATATGAATCTGCTTCTTTCCAAATAAAACTTTGTGGTTAATGTTGTGAAACAGGTTGGTTTTAGGCACAAAAACGACTTGATTTTCATTCTGGTCAAAGATTGTAAGTTATGTTCCATACCTAGCGTTGTTTACTTTTGGTTTCAAACGCGACACAAACAGCGGTTCCTTGGTGAAAGTCCTGTGTTTGTTTGTGTCATGATTATGGATGTTTCATATTATATTCGAAACTGTACGATGAACCTAAACAGTGAACTCAGTAACAAGAAGATTGTGTAAAACTAATTTGATTTGGATGAATTATAAGCAGATTATTTCCTGTTTAGGGAACTTGTTATACAGTTTTCTGTCTGTATTATGTATTTTTTAAATCATGCTGACAAATGTTTCCTTGTCCCTGACACTTGGCCATTATTCTATTAGACATGAACTTTTCTTTAAAGAAGTGAACCAAATACTAAGATATAGGCTCTCTAGCACGCCTTATACACAAGAAGGCCTCGTGACTTCCTTTGGCGCCCCGTAGTAGGGATCTCGACCCTCAGGTTGGGAACCACTGGACTGGAGGATCACTGACAGCATCACATTTTGAAGAAGAGGACCACCATGTTTTTAGCACATGGTTACCTTGACTGTGAAGGCTCATTGAGTTTCTTGCAGACAGGCGTTATAGCACACTGTCCTTTCACTTGCAATAAACCTTATTGAAAAGGTACTTCAGTGCTTAGACCTTCATCAGGTGAAGCTGAGGAACAAAGAATATTAAGGACAGAAAGATACAGCAAACACCTCCTCAGGTGAGGCCAATCAGAGACCA